GCTTTGTATTTTATTGCAGATAAATACATCTGAAATAGTGCCTGACTGTCAGTTTTTAGCTGTCTGAGGAATCAGAGCTTCTGGTTAGAGGAGATGCCAATAACTGTAGCTGTGCAGAAGGGGAAGGATCTTCTTGATGTCTCATGTCTTCATAAGTAGGTACCAAAGCAGCTACATTCATACCTCCTTTTGAAAATCATACTGAGGCTGTGGTAGTATTTGGATGGTCTGGGCAAATGTGCTGGGTTTGTTCATCATCCCTGCAGTGCTTGCTGTAAAATGAATGTATTGATGGGCAATTCAGGTAAGCAAATGCAATACTAAATTCTAACATCCTCCAAGATATATGTCATTGGTCATGGTGGTTCATGCTAAGCTGAAACCAAGACTGAACAAAATCCAAGATGAAACATCTGAATAACAGCATCTCTCCATGCTTGTAACATATTAAAAGAAAAACTTACAATCACTCAATCAAATGGCAGATTAAACTGCAGCATCACTGGAAAAAACAAAGTTGGTTAGCAGGGAATTCTAATTGTTTTGTCAAGTTTGCATTGATGTACTTGATAGATGAGATCTTGTTGCTGTCCAAGTTTTTAGGCACATAATGAAGATTCAGGGCCATGGCTTCTCCATTCTACATTGCATTGATGTACTTGATAGATGAGATCTTGTTGCTGTCCAAGTTTTTAGGCACATAATGAAGATTCAGGGCCATGGCTTCTCCATTCAATCCATAGTTGCCCCTTGTTCTGATGCCAAGTAATTCAAGAGCCTACAGGTGTAGCTAGCCTGACCTCTATGACCTCTCTGCATCCATGCCTAGGGAACCTATATGGAGCATCAGCCTCCAGGTATGCTCTTCAAGCCTGTTCCCTTATGTCTAGTGTTTTGCTTCTTCTATGAAAAATGACCTTTGTGGATCTAGAGATGAGCTGTTACCACTGTGACAGAGGAGATGCGAGTGCAGCATATGGATGTGTAATTCTTCTGCCTGCCGGAAGTAAGGGGGACAGCAAAGGGTGCAGCATAGTTGGTAGCTGTATTGAAGCCCATGCAACTGTAGCTGTAGAGCTATTGAGTTAGCTGTGCCAGCTGAGTTGAAGCTAACACAAGCGTGCCAACCTAGATTAGAGCTTTTGCTGTGTAACCTCATACCAAATGACTAACTTCCTAGTTTGTCCCTGCTGTTAATTGCAAAGGAAACAAAACAAAACAAGAGCTTGAGTCATTTGCACTTCAGATAAGTCATCATTCAGGCCAGTGGCAGATCAGAGATGAGCTCATAGACAAACATTGGCTTTTTGCTCTGAAAAAAATGAGCATCCCTCTGTCAATGTAGACTGATTTATTCTCATCACAGACATGCTTCTGTTACCCAAGCCTAGTGCAGGAATAGGTACTGACACTTCTATTTTGTATAATTTTGGGGTTTACCTGTGGTAAACTTCCCCTCTGACCTGACCCAAAGGTTTCAGCACGCAACATAAAAGAATTAGCTTGTCTGGGACAAGCTTCTGAAATATTTTTTTGAGATCCTATGTTGCCATACCACATGGGACTCTTTTCGCATTGTCTTTTTTGTGCTTCTTTGTTTTTCAGTGCCTTTTGTCCCTTTAGGTCCTTTGTGCTAATCTTCTCTCTGTTCAAGTCCTTCAGGCTATCATGTAGAAGTAGTGAATCAGAAGGATGTGTCTGCCCTACAGCGTAGATGTGCCTGAGTCAACTTCAAATTTTTTTCTGTCAGTACTACTAGCAGTGCTGCTGCAGAAGCACAGGTCTTAGGGCATGGTTTGCTGAGCCGCTCCAATGAGTTTTGCCACCTGTGTCGCGTTCTGCATTGTCATAGCTAAGCTGTTAGCCGTTCCCAAGTTAGCTGAAAGCTAACTGGAAACTACCGTTACTGTGAGGCAACCTTTACTGTAGTGTTTATGAAATGGTGAGTAGGCAGGTGAGAAGCTATCATTTTAACAGAATGACAGAAAAGTTGTCAAACCTACAGATTTTACATAAATAAGAAAAATGCATTACTTTCACTGTCTGAGCCCAAGTTTCCATTCAACAGACTAGTTAAGTTTTTCCTGATTTTTTTTTTTGCCTTCTTACGATTAAGTTTTTAAAGTAATAAGGGTAAATAGACAGTAGTGATTAAACGGTAGGATATTCCTTCTTCTGGGTTCTCTAGCATCTATTATCCCTCTGTGTTTGCCTTATATGTGGCAAAAGGAGGAGCCTTAAGGGATATATTCTTGGTACTGTGCAAACAGTGACAGGAACAGCAACTTGCTGTTTTCAGTATATAACAACTGTAAAACCAAATTTTCTGAGTATATGGCAAGCATGAATTGGACCTAATTGGTTATAAGGATGGGAAGTTATGTAGTCCTTCCTTTACAGCTAAGTGAAGTGAGCCACAGAAGAGTTAAAGCTTGTCATAATTCAGGGAGCTACTTTGTGGCAGAATAGTTTATATTGTGCATATGTCTTGGCTTTCACCAAAATTACACAGCAGGATGAAATCAAAGTTTAAAGGAGCAAATTCCAATACCAAAACAACATGTTTAACCGTCTGTATTGTATTTAATTATTAACCTTTTTACAGTAAAGTCAAGCAGTAGATATTCAGATTATCTTGATCAGGTAAAGATCTGGGCTGAGGTTTGAAAATGCCTGTATTTATAGCTGAAGTTTGTGAAAGTAGAAGTGATGCATTTGAAAGATTCCTCTTTTTGATTCAGTACCCCTTTCCTTGGCTGGTTCTAAGGGGCTTCTTAGCTAAGAAGCCAGTGTACAGGTAAAACTGACTCTGTGCAAAGTTCTATCAAAAGGACAATTAAGCAAATAGAGGAAAAACATTTCTTTGCAGCTATTGCCACTATCTTAAGAACAAGTGGAAATGTATTTCTTGCTGCAGGAGATATTACAGTGAAATGTAACATTCACTGAAGTCATGAAGATTGAATTCAGCCTTTGTAATTTAAAAAAGAATGTAAAGGTTTTTTCTTTTTTTTTATTCAAGACATAATCTAACTATGTAAGTATTTGGTGTTGTAACTTGCATATATAATATCACACACTGAACAGTTTTATGCTATATAAACAAATATGTAATACCACTTAGAATAAACTTATACAGTGCTATGAGCTGGTTTTTAGTAGTTCATGTCACTGAATTTGAAAGCAAAGACTCCAATGCATCACAGTAGGACCTGTGTCTTTGCATTGATAGGATTAACTAAGTTATGTGGTCATCGCAGTTATGTAAAATATTTGATTTTAGGGCAATAATTCTGGCTTTTTCTCCAGAGTTCAGAAGCCAGACTAGTACCTGATGGTTGGATGTGTTTCTTTTTTACTGAAACTGTTTATGAAATCGTACTGCTGAGCCAAGATTTCAGAAAGATTTGCAGTTAATTAATTCTTCTAGCATGGTGTGCTAGTCCCCCCAGGAGCATTTCAGCTGGGAGGAGGTGCAGCCGGAAGAGTGGTATCAGTGTTGCTTTCAGGACAGTGGGACTCCAGTGGCAGTGTTTATACAGCCCTGTGAAATGAAGGGAACATGAAAATATCTTCAAGTCAAGCTATCGTTTCCCTCATCTGCAGTAGTGCAAAGCAGAGCTCTGATGCAGGCAAAGAGTGGCCCTTTTGAGATTAACTGTTTTAGCTAATTATTTGTAATTTGAATATCAGTTAAAACATACAAAGATCTGTGAGTGCCAACTTGGCCTCTGTAAAGAAACTGAGCTACCTGAAAGCATTCGTTTTAATGAAACCCCGGCATATGCAAGCAATCTCTTACCAGTTCCGTAATGAAGGCCTACACAGTCTTTGAGTGGTAAGCAGTTATGGAAGAAAACTAGATTGTCATTTTTGAAAGTGATACAAGTTGCCTAAGTATGTATTGTCATCAAAAGCAGCATTATTAATAAAAAAAAAAAAAAATGTTGTGCTGCAGCCAAATACTGTCAGCCAGATGTTAAAGCTTCACTCAGACTGCTGTAGCCAAGTTTCTAGAATTAAACATGTGCCCTAATACGACGGGTGAATTCTCTTGAAATTGGCAGGACACTGCCAGCTTTCAGAGTTTTTGAAAATCTGGCCAATGTAAATTTGTAGGTATAAGTTTAGGAATCTAATATTAGGACAGAAAAATGAATGCGTATATTTTTATATCTTTGTTTGGGTTGTGATGGATTAGACTGTCTCACATTTCAGGTCCAAAGCTGACGGTCTTACTTTTGACTTTGATATTGGGTCAGCTGATGACTTCTTTAGCTGACCCCGATGCCGAAGTCAAAAGCAAATGTCTGACCTATCTGTGTGGATACAAAGGAAAACCCTTTCTCCGCGGTGATAATCAGGCTTCATTAACCAATCACAACAGTATTTTACCTCAAGTTGACTTGAAATGTGACAATGTTAGAAATAGATGTACAGTTGTAGAATTTGTTGAATTCATTAGCAAGATTAACTAAAACTGCCCAGCTTATTGTGTGACGTGTATACCCTGGCAAACAAAAGAATTCTACATTAAAATCAGTTGAGTTGCAGGTTTGTTTCTGTAGAACAGGCTGTTTGTTTGCTTTTTTTCCTAATTTTTAACTTCCAAAAATTGTTACAACAGATGGCCTGTTGAGCCAACAATAGATCATCACGTCTCACCGCAGTGGGATCTCTTTCTGGCTAGCTTAAATTGGTGCAGTTAGATATCAGTCCTCACCATATACATTCAGACCAGCTTCACCTTAATTGCTTCTTTCCATCTGGCCCCTGGTAGTACAAACAGTTTTCTGCCTCCTCGCATAGCATCAGAAATGCACATGAATAAGCAATCTAGCACTGAAACAATTCTTTTGAACACATTAAATTCCATCTCTGGATGCTGGCAGATCCCACACTTTCATGGGTAACTGAATATTCATGCTAATTCCCGTAAAGAGTTTAATAATTAGTAATTTCTATTTTTAAATTACGCTCTTTGATTTTTATTCCCACAGAGGTCTCAGTCTGCGTTCTCCCTGGCTAGCGAAGATATGCCCAGTAGAGGTCTAGACCCTGCATCTTCTGTGACTGAGGCTCTTTGGAGGCAGCAAAAAGGACAATTTGGAAAACAGAAGGAACGCAAGCTCTCTGCATTACCCAGCTGGAAAAGTGTGGACAGGCTAAATGAAACAAGTAAATATTTCTGATACGAATTTTGTTCTTTTTTGGTTCTCACCCC